ACTGGGAGCACTGGGAGCACTGGGAGCATTGAGAACACTGGGGGCACTGGGGGCATTGGGAACACTGGGAATACTGGGGGCACTGGGAGCATTGGGAAAGACTGGGGGCATTGGGAACACTGGGAGCACTGGGAACACTGGGAGCATTGGGGGCACTGGGAATACTGGGAGCACTGGGAATACTGGGAGCACTGGGAACATTGGGGGCACCGGGAGCAGTGGGAACACTGGGGACACTGGGAGCACTGGGGGCACTGGGAACACTGGGAATACTGGGAACACTGGGAGCATTGGGAACACTGGGAGCATTGGGGGCACTGGGAACACTGGGAACACTGGGAGCACTGGGAATACTGGGAACACTGGGAGCATTGGGGGCATTGGGAGCAGTGGGAGCACTGGGAATACTGGGAGCACTGGGGGCACTGGGAATACTGGGAGCACTGGGAATACTGGGGGCACTGGGAATACTGGGGGCACTGGGAATACTGGGGGCATTGGGAATACTGGGAGCATTGGGAACACTGGGAGCACTGGGAGTATTGGGAGCACTGGGAGCATTGGGAACACTGGGAACACTGGGAACACTGGGAGCACTGGGAACACTGGGAACACTGGGAACACTGGGGGCACACAGAAGGACTGGGGGCACTGGGAGTACTGGGAAGGACTGGGGGCACTGCGGGCACTGGGAACATTGGGAATACTGGGGGCACTGGGAGCATTGGGGGCACTGGGAATACTGGGAATACTGGGATCAGTGGGAAGGACTGGGGGCACTGGGAACATTGGGAGCAGTGGGAATACTGGGAGCATTGGGGGCACTGGGAATACTGGGAAGGACTGGGGGCACTGGGAACACTGGGAACATTGGGAGCACTGGGAATACTGGGAGCATTGGGATGGGGAACTGGGAACACTGGGGACACTGGGAAGCACTGGGAAGCACTGGGAGCACTGGGAGCACTGGGGGCACTGGGAGCATTGGGAACACTGGGGGCATTGGGAACACGGGACACTGGGAGCACTGGGAACACTGGGAGCACTGGGAACACTGGGGGCATTGGGGGCACTGGGGGCACTGGGAANCATTCCCTCTGCAGGGTCACTACGCCGTGATGAACAACCCCACCCGGCAGCCCCTGGCCCTCAACATCGCCTACAGGTCTGTGGGGTTTCCATCCCACAGGTTCCCCTCGTGGGATAAAAGCATTTTTCCTGATCAAACCACTGGAATATCACGGGAGATAAACCCAGCTGGGATTTCCTGGTGGGGTTTTCCATTTGAGGTTCAATTTTTCCCAACAAAACCATTGGAATCTCATGGAATGACTGGGAGACAAACCCATCTCCTCCAACTGGGATTTCCTGGTGGTGTTTTCCCTTTGAGGTTCCATTTTTCCCAACAAAACCATTGGAATCTCATGGAATGTCTGGGAGATAAACCCATCTCCTCCAGCAGGGATTTCCTGGTGCTGTTTTCCATTTGTGGCTCCATTTTCCCAACAAAACCATTGGAATCTCATGGAATGTCTGGGAGACAAACCCATCTCTTCCAACTGGGATTTCCTGGTGGTGTTTTCTCTTTGTGGTTCAGTTTTTCCCAACAAAACCATTGGAATTTCACGGACTGACTGGGAGATATATCCAGCTGGGATTTCCTGGTGGTGTTTTCCCTTTGAGGTTCCATTTTTCCCAACAAAACCATTGGAATCTCATGGGAGATAAACCCATCTCCTCAAGCTGGGATTTCTTGGTGGTGTTTCCCTGATAAAACCACTGGAATCTGATGGGCTGACTGGGAGATAAACCCATCTCCTCCAACTGGGATTTCCTGGTGGTGTTTTCCATTTGTGATTCCATTTTTCCCAACAAAACCATTGGAATCTCATGGGCTGAGTGGGAGATAAATCCAGCTGGGATTTCCTGGGCTGTTTTTTCCTGAAATGATCCATTTTCCTTATAAAACCACTGGAATCTCATGGCAGACAAACTCATCTCCTCCATCAGGGATTTCCTGGGCTGTTTTCCCTTTGTGGCTCCATTTTCCTTATAAAACCACTGGAATCTCACAGGCTGGGATTTCCTGGTGGTTTTCCCTT